AGTTCATTCTTGAGCGCTAAAACCTGAAAATTGTATTAATGGTCAGATGCCGTGAAGACAGTCTGCGTGCACATTGTCAAGACACGAGTGGATTTAGAAAAACTTAGATTCTAATCACCATTTTCGAATTCATTAGAAATGTCTCATGTTTCCGCAAAGTAATTCCATATTATTTCACTTTGAACTGCTCTTAAGCATTTTTAAACTGGTCATTAACTATCAATCACTAACCATTGTACCGAAATCGCAAATCCAAGTGTGTTGAAGTTAGTATTCTATTCGTGACTACACCACAGCTGAATAAGTATGAAAACTGACATAGAAGGAATGACAAATGTTTGCCCTTCAGTAATTACATACATAATTATATTCCCCTACTAACAAGCTGGAAAATTTTTAAATCAAGAATAAGTTCCTGGCCAAGATTCCTAAATTTTACAAAAAAGCCCAATCTTCTTGATCTCAGGTGACCTGATGATGACCTGTAAACTACACTTCCATATTGAGAGAATTCAATACCGTACAACCCTAAAGCTATTAATTATTAAGTTTCTTCATTGTTTTGTTAAGAAGTTAGCCCTGAAATCTAAAGAAACAAGTTTATATTTGTGCAAACATTTCCAAACAATGGGGAAAATCAAATCGAATCAAAGATATTTATGTCTGGTCTGTTTGTAATGTAATTCAATTAATCTCAATCAAACCTCTTCAACAATAACATCTTTTCTGAAGATTTACGTTCAAATGAAAATAAATACAGATCTACATTATGCATTACTTGACATAGTGGACTTGAAGAAACATTAACGTGTCTCTAACATAACTATTTAGTGATTTCTCTCTTATTTTCACAATGAAAACGCCTCATACATATCTGCATTAGTGTTAATTGAGTTTCGATCAAGATTAAAATCTGCAATTTTTACTAGCTGGCTAAAATGAATAAAATTTGTTTTCCTTTGGATGAATTTGTTTTTGGTCTAATAATACTTAGTTGTTACTTTATATATGCCTATAATTGAACTATGATATGATTAGTATATTCGTTCTATTTAAAGCTCGTATATTGTTAAATATACTATACTTTGAAATTCAAAGATATAGTTGAGATTAAGACATTTGGATGATTACTAGTTAATTATCTACTCAACGTATTATTTATCACAAAAACATAACGTAACTTGAGGTTTTTAACTCACAAGTCTCAAATAGTTAACATATCATGACTTAGTTTTGATAGTTACTTTTCATGATTTGCTATAGACAGTTTAATGACCTATAAAAATAAAGTTACTTACCAATAGGACTCTGTTATATTGGAAAAACTATAAACTATTCCCTATTCCTTAAGTACTGACTGAAAAATTTTGACGATGATTTTGAGTTATTCGTGCCGAATTCCCTGATACATCAGAAAGATAATGTCAGGAAATAAGATGAGAATCAATAACCAACCTACATAACTTTATATTCAAGTAAGCATCAATTTTTTCACAATATAAAGGGTTTATGTTGAAAATTTTTCATATATAGGTTAAAGAAATAACCTCAAATTCCATTTTCATTTACAATAGCAAGATTCCAGCACGGTAGTTATTTTTCCTTACAAAACGAGATTTCATTGCACTACTAATTCAACAGTTTATCCCTTTTAGCTACATCTAAAAGTTACTACTAGCTTCATAATGCAGATCACAACCAATTGACGTGTATTGTGACTACGGATATATGTAATCATTGGACAATTTACAATGAAGCATGTCGAAGGGAAAAAAGAACGACCATAAAATAGGTATTGAAGTGCATCGAACGAAACCAGTCGTGAAAAAAAAGCACCCTAGTTGTTTGTCATAGAATCAGCTCCAGTTCATGATATTCTTACGTTTCGAACATATTGTACACTCATCAAGTTTCGATTACACTTATATGTCAGATAGGCTGTTGCGTTATCCAAAAACAATAAAAACTGTTGTTACAAGAACTAGCTTCAGAAACCCAGTCAAATATCCGACAACTATTGCTAGGTTAAAAACTCTTGATCTAGGAACATTTTTATGAAGTAACCCACCAATTCTATGAAGACTTCTATGAATCAAAGCTATCATTATAACTGGTGGTTTTAAAATTAAATCAAGTGCGAAAATATTCGTAAAGTCATTATGAGACTATCAATTTTGAATCCATGTGCTCATGGATAAATTTAAAACATACTCAATCAATAAACCTACACAAATAAGATGATTTGACATCTTCCTAAAACAATTAAAGTGGCTAACATAAAGCGATCGTATGATAACACATAGTCAACTAGATATATATGGTAGATATTACTTAAAGATTATTTCTCTTTAACTATCCCACGCAATATTACAGTAAATGAACATAGTATAAAATTAATCGGACGTATGCATAGATTGAATCAATAGACGCTATCCTAGGAAAAAATGTTATCTTATTTCTTTACTAACATACAAGTTGACCGGTCAGAAAAGCGGCAGCAAAATGAAGTAGAATATACAATTAGATTGCGATATTAAAACAATCGGAACCATAATTGACTATTTCTACAAAATGAAGTGTATTAACATGAACATTTGTTCATGTACAAATAATTCAATATCATTCTAACAGTTTAAGTGAAAGAAACCACAAATAAAGCCACGCGATTAGTTGAAAGAATAATCATAATACAAAAGAAATTGATTACCTGATTTTATCAATTCATTCCTGAAGTCAGACTGAAAAGCTTAACCAATACAGATTTTGTAAATAAAGCAGGAAAACAATATTTCATAATGTTAAGGAAAAAGGGGAAATATGAACAAGAACAATAATAACCGACAACCCACAAATCAAATCACATGAGAAGCAAATAAAAACAGGGAAATAGGCAACAAAAACGAATAGTAATAAGCAATCAGGAATAAGTTAAATGTTAAAACTATATCCGAATTAACAGGCAAAATACAACTAATAACATTAGCTTAATAACATATAATATACTTTAACGAACCAATGATTAGTATAAATATTTAAGAGACCAACAGATGTAATTAATAACCAAACGACATCTAACAGTGGACTGTATTTTAAACACTTTTTGTGTTAACGACAAACACAATTAACCAAAAAATTGTTATTACGGAAAGTAAAGTTCGTATCAACAAACTTAAAACAATTGCAGAACCAGTGGAAACTATGTAGTATTTGAAAGCTACATACTTACAGTTTTAGACTTCACTTGGCAAGGTATACCACCCTTGATTTCATAATATTCAATGCTTATGAATCTGTCAATTTTTAACCATCAATCAAGATCCAGAATAACCGTTAAGGTTTAATAGATCAGGTATCGTTTTTCATTGTTGAACTTGACCACTCCGATGTACTCATGAGAAAGTATTGACAGTTTGAAAGTCATGAACCACAACCCTTCATTTCAGACTTAATAATAGAGATGATAAGGTAGTAACTGGTTTAACTATTTATTACCAAGAGTATTTGGTAGAATTCATTCGATACTTGGATTTCTCAACATCTATGGTAGACATTATAAGCATTAAACCATAGCTGAAAGTTAGATTGCAAACTTTATATTCATCATCAAACTAAATCGTTCACTTCCGGTTAGTGCAATTAGATGAGGACCAACTTTAATACAAACCGAAACCACTAGTTAATAAAGATAAAGTTCATAATAAAATTCATGTGTTAGACGGAAGACCCTGTAGTGTCACAAAACATATGATATAAAGGTAGCTTTCGTACCAAGTCACGGTTTTAAATTATACTTTGTCCATGATGCTACCAAAAACTAATCTTTAGATGAATCGCCACATTATAGATTTACAACTGTGCCACTGAGGAAATTCGATTCCAGTAAAACATTTGAAGGTGGTCGGTCGAATTATTTACCCAATGATCAAATCATTTAGGTATCTCACTAACATGAGTATGATTTAGCATCAAAGTAAAAAACGAATCTGACCCAATTACAACGATCAAATGTATCTATGAGAAACTCAATAATATGACGTGAATAAACATAACCAAAGACCATTATAAATTTTCTTACAAATAACAGTTAACTTTGAAAATCTTGTGGAGAAAAGTAATACAAAATGTGCAAATTAGTTTCAAGGTCCGTATAAAAGTTTGCAAGAAACAATCATAATAAGACTAAACATCGAGAAAACTGTTTGAAAAAAAATTGAAAAGATATATGTGGAAGGATACTGGAGTCCGAGATCTAGAGTAAGGTGAGGAGTAAATGTATCTGACACATGACACCAAATGTCTCTAACTATTGATTACAGACATCGTGCGGACACCACAACTAGGCAGTGAGCATCTACTAACATGATTTAGACCAAAAGTCAATGAGCCCATGATTTTATGTTACATTTTAGTCTGGCTATTTTTAGTTTTCTTACAATTGGCTCATACATCAGCTAACATCAGTAAAAGATATACATAATAGTCATAAAATTACTTTTTGCTACAAAAATGTAATTCAGTTTAGTGAATATCTTTTGGTTAATACATCCAAAAAGGTTATTTAGAAATGGTTTGACCATTAAAAAGTCAGACAGGGAAATTGGAAGATACGTATCTTTCAATCATTTCTACGAACACATCACCAAACATGTACATAATTTGGTAAAATACACAAATTCATTATCACCAAGTAAAATATACTCAATCACATGCATATAAAATTAAGGACGAGGTGGCAGTGTGGAAATTACACAACAACGAGATGTGGATAAAAGGAAAACCACAAAAACAAACCTCACCAAAAACCGAAACCCATGCAAGTTTGACAACTTACAGAGAGACGAATGTTTATGATGATGATTTTTTGACTAAATAGCATAAAATCGCAATATGAATATTAAACTACAATGAATCAAGAAACTTGATAAAAATATGAATCAAAAGAAATTTGTACAGAAAGTTCCAATATTTTATTAATTAAAAACAAAAAAACACTAGAGTTATTATGTTGAATAGTTAGATGGAATGTTTTTGTTAGCTTGATTAGACGGAATATTTGAAGGAGTTGCATATGATGATGAACCATTTGTAGAAAGCGTACTCGGTGTGTTTACAGATTGCCTTGATAAACGTCTAACAACGTTGATGTGTTCTGCATATTGTGTCATTGTTAGACGAACGCAAACATGAGATAATGGAGAATCATCTTGCAGGAAGTTATTTTCCACTGGGAAAGTTAATTGACTGGGTGGCCAACGTGGTGCATCAAATGTGCCCGTTTCAACAGCTTGTAAAAATGATGGGCTAAATATATGTTCTGTTGAACTATTAGCTGGTGGACAAATATCCGGTAATACTTGGGTAATAAAAGCTTTTAATACATCACGACACAAATGTATCATGCAGGATGCATGAAAACAAACCTACAAAACAAAGTGTAATAAAATCAAATTATAGACAGAAAGAAACTGAAATCCAAAATAATATTTTCCATGTTTTAGTTGGTTGTTTAAGTTTCGAGATAGTTTGCATCAGACTAACTTCAGTTGAAAAATTCAAACAGCACTGGTTAACTAACTGTTTTGTCAGTGACAGCGCTGTGCCAGTGATCAACAAACTCAAGACGGACAAGCCTCACAGCAAGTGAATCACTGGTTCACATAGCCAATTTTATTCGACTAATAATAAATGGTGACCATTCATTGTTATAGATGACACCAGTATTGGTCTGTAAATTGCTGAACTTCAATCAGTCATATCTAGTGCTCCCTAGTTTTTAATGGCTCACCAGTAAAAGTCGGTTTATGATGAAAAGGTGCATACAACTGAATGACCTTGATTGTAATCTTTGCTTTCTATATTTTGAAGGATGAGTTGGACATTCCTTTTCTCGCAATACCATGTGGACCACAGTTTTTAATACAATCATACTGACTCTTGGCAATAATAGCAATAAATCTGGAGAGCTTTGGCGACATTTACAACAGAAGTTGACAATAATGTCGACGAGCATTGTAAGAACATACTCAATATATGAGCAATAAATCAATTTGTTTAATATTATCCAAATACAGGTTAAATAGTCTCTTAATATCCAGTTCTGCGAAGTCAATATTTAGGATCATCGAAGCATTTTCTAAAACAAAGAAGAGGATTCCAATGGATGTCACTCAGTGGTACGTGCCAACAAATAACAGCACCGACGGTGACAAATATCAGTTTAATGATGTTGCAGTTCATTCTATAGAAATATCCAACAAAATACCAGATTTAAATAAAGCAAGAACAAATATTGATGCAGAATAGTATGAATTCATAATATTTCGAGGTTTCTTGTCAGCTGCTTACAACCAAATATGTGATAAGTTTTTTACATTGAGATAGTGTAAAACAATTGGCATAAATGAATGTACAATATTAGAATGACAAAGATTTACAATAATAACTACATATATATATATATATATATATATATATATATATATATATATATATGCTAGAACAGGTCAGAGGTTAATTGGTGCTAGAATTAAGGAGACAATTAAAGATGGAAGATGTAATAGTTGAATGGAGTTTATAAATTGTGTGATAATTATTTTAGAGGTATTAGAACAGTGATAAGATAGGTTACGTAATGATAGAATAAAATTTGAACAGTTAAGATAATCTAACAGTATCAGTGAGGCGATTGCAATAAAAAAAACTTAAACCGGATTTATGCATTCAAAAAGAGACACTAATTAACTTATTATTACCCTGGTAATCCATTTGTGTGTGTGTGTTATTTGATTCACTTATTTATTTTTTTAAAAAAAATTTATTTTGTGTTATCCTCCAACCCCCGCCTCATAACTTAATTCTTAAACCAATTTTTATCCACATATTTCCGCATCACTGATACTGTTAGATTATCTTAACTGTTCAAATTTTATTCAATCATTACGTAACCTATCTTATCACTGTTCTAATACCTCTAAAATAATTATCACACAATTTATAAACTCCATTCAACTATTACATCTTCCATCTTTAATTGTCTCCTTAATTCTAGCACCAATTAACCTCTGACCTGTTCTAGCATATATATATATATATATATATATATATATATATATATATATATGTAGTTATTATTGTAAATCTTTGTCATTCTAATATTGTACATTCATTTATGCCAATTGTTTTACACTATCTCAATGTAAAAAACTTATCACATATTTGGTTGTAAGCAGCTGACAAGAAACCTCGAAATATTATGAATTCATACTATTCTGCATCGATATTTGTTCTTGCTTTATTTAAATTCATAAAGGGAACTAACTGCATGAAATACCAGATTATTCATACGGAAGACTTAAACGCCAAGGCTGGAATGGATAACACTGGGTATGCATGCATCATGGGGTTAGAGAGACTGGGGGGAAAGAAACAAGAATTGATAGATACTGTTAGATATATATTTAGGCAGCAGCACCTTCCCCAATAAGCGCATACACAAAATTACAAGGGTTTCACTGGGCCACACTACAGGAAACCAGATCGGTTATATCTGGACTAATAAAATAGTCCAGAAGGTTCATGAAAGACATAAGAACGAAGAAATCAGCTGATGTAGCTAAAACTGAAGCTAAAGAAGTATTGACTTCTTGAACAATCAGCACCATAAAAGTTTAATACAGCTCACCTTCCAGATGCTAACACGCCCAATGAGTCCAAAATAGATCTCAACAACAAGTTCCAAGCCTTACAGGATCCATTAGAAGAGGGAAACAGGAAGGAGAACTAGAAAAGATTAAAACACGAATAACTTCAGCATACTAGGAAATCCTGAGGTCCAAGGAACACCAGCATTAAGAATTAATCTCTGTAGACACCCTGAGCAAGATTCGATAAAGAAAAAACAAAACAGCATGAGTCAACAACAGCTGAACAAAGCAGAGAAAGCCACGATACAGGCTAAATATACAGAAGCAAACAAATGAAAATAACCGAGTTGGCAATTAGAAGCTCACAGATGCATTCCAAGGGTAATCTGATGTGATACAAGACACTTTACTCTCACTTTAACTCTTTCTGCTAGCTTTTGACTGAATCACAAGGATCTTCACATCGCAAGAAAAATATGGAATGCAGTGGATATCTTCGACCTAGTTGGATGATTTGGATTTTATAGATGACATACCATTCTATCTCATAAACAACAGTAAATTCAGGTGAAAAAAGTGTAGTAGAGCCTTTTGAAGTGGGTCTCAACATTTACAAAAAAGATCATGAAGAACAACACAGCAAGCAACAACCAAATCACACTTGATGAAGAAGCTCTATAAGACGTGCCTTTACATATCTGGATAGCATTATTGATAACCAAAAAGGATCTGATGATGTCATTGTACGAACTTGCAAATATACAGCATCTGCAACCGGAGGCAGAAGTCTATACCACGAATCCCACTTCACAACAACTGAAAATGAGAACCCAAAATAGAGTTGCCTAGAGATCTCCGGTTGACGGGTTTGTCCCAAGAGCGATAGTAGTGGCAGTTTACTACGAATATTACTACTGTAGAGAACAAGAACACGAGTGAGGACAATCGAATGTATTTGACACGAAATTACAGAGCATCTCAATAAAATTTGAGAACCATTTAGTAAATAGTTAATTTGCAAACTATTAATCCATCGTCTCTAACTTGACTGTTCCTTTTGCAAATATCAGTCCATTGTCTCAAATTTCATTGTTCGTGCATTTTTATACAAATTGCGTTCCGTTAACGTTCTTTCCTTATCGATCTTCTACTGAAATACATTCTATGCCTGATCACCGTTATATACTACTTATGTGGATATTAATAATCTACATCAAACTACCACTATTACACAAAACATTCTGATTGATACAAGATCAGTTTTATGTTACGTTCGCGCCTCAGAGTGTTTAGCCAGAATTGAAATCAAGTATTTTAAAGTGTGGAACATGATGAAGGGAACTATCTATATGCAAAGGATGTGGGACGGTTCAAAATGTAAACCTAGTGTTAAAAACATGCATTTTGCCGAATCCGCACGTGAGTTCAATACGAGTACAGGAAAATAAGAAACAAAATTATTCATTCCTAGTATAACATCTACTAAACGACATCGTGAAGTCTTCAAAGATACAATTAACCAAAAATTGAAGATAATAACTACTATAAGGTTCTTTTTCACTGCAAAAAATTATAAAACTGTAAGACAAAATAATAACATTATTGGTCTATGAGAAACAAAACACTGATACAGAACATCCAAAGAATAACATACGAGATAGACTTCACTACAGACTGATAAATTTCTATGATCACAAAGATATTTATACGGTAAACAACTTATTAACAAGTACGTTAAGTTTAGTTAATTTTAGTTTGCTTCACCAGCTAGAATCACTCAAGAAACAATTGAAGCCCCAAAGAAACTGTGATAGTTTTACAATCTCTATGGGTGAGCACCGACTGTTCTTCCATGATACAATCTAGAATGTACAGAAATTCATCAGGACAACAGTGTACAATAATGACCGAAACAATATTCAACACGTTTCTATATTGGTTTTTAGTGACATTAATGTAAGAAATATCAACAAATAATGAAAGCTATGAGTAGAAATAGGTAATCCTTGATTGTCTTGTGACACATTTTGTATTTCGATGACAGAATCATGTTATTGCGACCGAGCATTTCATACGTAAATAGTAGCTAGTTCTAATTAAAAATGCATATAATCTATCTCGGAAGAAATCGTTCACAAAGAAAATCTACTGTTGCTTATATATGTTGTTCCAATACCATATTTAATCGAACCCATTATGCCGTTGTGATTGTTATATTCCTGGTGAAATTTATTGAACGGCAAACAAGCACAACAACAGTTTTATATGATACATACCTCGATTAAATATCCTTTAACGGAAGCACTCTGTCCCATGAATATCGTAATAAAATTAATTGTAAAATCACCCAACTGATACTTTATTCCTTTAGCTTCAACTTGTAATTTCTTTTTACGTTGATAAAAGGCTTTTAAGCACCCTGGGAATTCACGAAAAGATATATCGGCAACAAGAGCTGTTTGATTGTCAGAGAATACAAAACATGATGCTGGATATTCAGTTGATGTGAGAACTTGAAATGTTTTACACTGAGCTAGCGATATATGTTGTTAGAACAGAAAACTACTTACATCTAGCAAAGTTTGAAAAGTAAACTGCGCTTTCTATATGTATTCGACCGCACTTTTGTGCACCTAGTTTTATTCATATTCAAATACCATTAACTAACAAACCAAGAAGTTCTAATTTCTTCATAAGATTCTCAAGAATCTGTGGATCACTGTTTCCTTCAGATGAGTTGAGCAATAACACACTGAAAAGCTAGAATGTAAGTAGTGATAAAAACTTACCACGAAACTCCTGCCATTCGGTCAATCTAAAATATAAAAATGTATACAAAAGTGGTGAGTACTATAATTATTTTTTCGAGTGATGTGATAAAATGTATTTTTTTCGTTTATTTGAACACATAAATATTGGTACAAGGAGGCACCAGATACATATGCGCCACACTGTGGATTTCTTTGTTATTTAAACGAAAAGTGAAAAAATGACCCGATTATATGATTTTAAAGAGAGCAAGAATAAAGATTGTTGCAGGATAATATGAATTCATTTTATTTCGTTAGGTTCTCAGCAGCTGCTTACAACTTATACATAAGAGGGTGATTAAGAATGAATATATGTATCATGATGTAGCGAAGATTCAGATAGAGTTAATGTGATAGAAAAACTGACTACGGTGCCAACACTTTAAATACTGCGACAGCAGCTGGTATCCTGAAGTGGTACTCGGGTTCACATATTGTGACAATCTAATTGAGCTGCATGGGCTGAAGCATTCACTCCTTCGAGTCCTATCATGTCAGGCAGGATGGATGGAGAGTGATAAGATCAAAAACAATGAACTCGTGGTCCGAGGGTGAAGTTTTGCTTCCAACTGCATAGGGGGGCGACAATAGTAAGGTCAGTCAGTCATCTACAACGTAGGAGCAGGCACATATATGCATCGGTCCAAGTTGCCACACCTCATTAGCACAACAAGATGAAAACCAAATTCATAGAGGCAGATACTTCAATGGTGGTAATATATACAAGAAAGACTGAATATAAGGATATAATACAGGAAGAAAGAATTAATTCGTAGAAAGGAAGGTATAAAGCAGTTTTAATCTTATAGTTTAAGGGAAGACAAAGAGTGTATACGTTTACGCCATTATGATCAATTCGGAGACATGTCACCCAGTCTCCAACCATTGGTTAAGATAGTCAAGCGGACCGCAACTAAGTGGTGTGCAGCTACCAATATGGCTCAGACTAGAAGTTAGTGATTTCAAGGACTGACGCCACGTTTTGGTTGTAATTTATTTATTTGAACACATAAAAATCGGTACAAGGAGGCACAAAATAGTTATGTGCCACATAAATCATTCGATTTGTACGACGCATGGGATACTGATCGGGTGCTAAAACCGAAGCAGGTGGTTTTCTTAGGGGGCCACACCCGAAGCCTTTGACCTAAAGGTCTAATCCACAAGGCAGTGGAGCAACGCCAGGAGATGCAGTCCCATGGTCGCCGGTGACCAACGATTGGTTCATATACCATTTGTTCCCTCAGGATCATACAGCCCATGTGCACCATTGATTCGGAATCGGGGTTTTCAAACTCTCCTAGGTGGACTCTCTGTGTCCACCAACCCGGTTAAAGCGCCGGACATTCGCTTTTTGTCCTCTCAATTTTCTAAACAACACCTCCGCCACGAGGAGTGAGTAGAACTTTCCTGGCAGTGGCTGTATACGCGTGGCCATGTGAGAGTAGTTCGAGAGGAAGAGCTGCCTCTCCCCACTCTCAGCCGTACTAGGGAACTTTGGGGCTTAGTGCTACACCTACAGCCGCCAGTCCACGAGAACTTGCCATCGGGTCGCCAGATACACGGAGGGTGTATTTCGTCGACTCCCCGTTTTAGCTAGGTGATGTTAAGTGAATGACCACACTAGGATCCAGTATGCGTGTTTCGGAGATACAGCATATATCAATTGTACGAGATTATAGGGTCTCAGCCAAAGAGGCAAGCTGGCCGATTCGACTTAAGGTATGAACGTTGAAGGCTTCAATGTGTAGTTTGGAGCGAGGTCTTATTAGGCCTGGGGTAGTATTTCTCTCACTAGAGTGACAATTGAGGAGGAAGTTTAAAGTCGATAGTCAAGGTAGGGGGAATAATAGGAATTGAAGACGAAAATTGATTATGAATACAATGATCTCGAATGCTGTAAGAGGTATGAGGGCAGTTATTACATCCCGGTTGCCCATATTTATTTATTTTATTTTAACACACAAGTATAGGTACAGGGAGGCACCAAATACATATGCGCCACACAAATCTCAATTGATTTGTGTGAGGGCTGTGATACTGCTCGGGTGCCCAAACCGAAGCAGGTGGTTTTCTTAGAGGGTCACACCTCGAGCCTTTGACCTGAATGTCTGACCCACAAGGCAGTGGAGCATCGTGAGGAGATGCAGTCCCATGGTATCCGGTAACCAACGATTGGTTCATACGCCATTTGTTCCCGCAGGATACTGGAGCCCATGTGCACCATCGTTTTGGGGTCCGGTTAAAGCGCCGGACATTCGCTTTTCGTCCTCTCATTTTTGTAAACAACACCCCCGCCACGAGAAGGCAGTGAGTAGGACTTCCCTGGCTAACTTTTGGTCACCGGCTTCCATGGGACTGCATCTCCTCACGATGCTCCACTGCCTTGTGGACTAGACCTTTAGGTCAAAGGCTCGGGGTGTGGCCCCCTAAGAAAACCACCTGCTTCGGTCTGGGCACCCGGGCAGTATCCCAGCCCACTCACTAAAACTATGGTGAACAATTTGCTTATGGAAAATATTCCTTTCTATCTGATTAACATTGAAATAACTCGTACTATTATTATTATTATTGTTATTATTAATATTATTATTATTATTATAACTCTACCACGTCATTTATTCACCCTCTCTTATTCCTACTTTATATATGCGTTTCGACCTAGACAGCAGCTCACCTATGGTGAAAATTCAGCTTTATCTAAACGTTCCCGAGTCACTGCCTGGTTGAAAATTGTATGTTACTACCGAACATGAGTACTGAAGCAGTTTTTCTGAAACCGCGTGCACCATTCAAACTGGCTACCTTCAACGTTCGCACACTTATGCAGGTCGGACAACAGATAGGACTGGCTATGTCTTTGGAAAGTCTTAATATTGATGTGTGTTGTCTATCCGAGACCCGTATTCAAGACTCTGGTGAAGTACTACAAGTTCGCTCTCCATCTGTCACTTCAAAAAGCTTGTTTTATTTGCGTTTATCCGGGGACCCTGTGGCATCTTCGTCTGGTCTTGCTGGCGTTGGTGTCGCACTAAGCGCAAGAGCTGAGGCAGCACTAGTCGACTGGATCCCCATTAACAGTCGGTTATGTGCTGTTAGATTAGAAAGTTCCATCAAAGTGAGAAGAAATGGGCGTGAGAAACGATGTCTTTTCGTCATCTCCGCCTATGCCCCGACAGATTGCAGCCCGGATGCAATCAAGGACGAGTTCTACCATCAGCTAACTGTTCTTCTCCAGAAAGTGCGTTCGACAGATATTGTAGTACTAGCTGGAGACTTGAATGCTCAGGTCGGGCGTCTAGGCACAGAAGAGAGTCGTTTAGGTGGCCGATGGGGACTCGTTGGTCGCAGGACAGATAACGGGGAACGTCTACTGCAACTATGCACAGACCACAACCTGTTTCTGGCTAGCACTAACTTTCGGCACAGTCATCGCCGATGTGCCACCTGGCGTCCTCCTTCTGCATCTCAAGCCTGGACTCAGATTGATCACATCGCGATCAGCTACCGCTGGCGCGGTTGTGTACAAGACTGCCGCTCCTTTTGGAGTACCTATCTGGAATCTGATCATGCTCTGGTCTGCGCCAATCTTACCTTACTTTTCAGTGGACAACGAAGTGACCGCCACCAAAGGATTGATGTTAGCAAGCTGGCTGCAACTTCTGTTGCTAGTAAGTACCGAACCGAGCCAGCTTCTAGGCTAGCTACCATTCCACCGAAAAGTATAGATGAGCATTGGTTGCAATTGCATGACGCCATGAAAATGGCGGGTACAGTCTGTTGTGGGTTCGCGAAACGTCCCGCTTACAAGCACTGGGTTTCTTCTGGTTCCTTACAACTGATTGAAGCCCGTCGGTCTACTCCGGGTGACCGTGAGTTTGACCACAGACGAAGGATGTTACGTAATGAAATCGGGCAAAGCTTGCGTAAGGACCGAGAAGCCTGGTGGTCGGAGTGTGCCAGTGAGTTGGAAGTTTGGTGTGAGCGAAACGATCTGCGAGGATGACGGAACGCCAATCACTAACATCCATCGACGTCTTGGACGATGGGCAGAATTTTTTGAAGGGCAGTTCAACTGGCCTGCTGCTCCGGCAACATCGGTCAGACTGTCCTGCCCTCCATGGCCAGTGACGACTGATCCACCAAATGAGACGGAAGTCCGCAAGGAACTCCAACTCTTGAAACGTTACAAATCACCGGGCCCAGACGACTTACCTCCGGCTCTTTTTAAAGATGCTGGTGACTTTCTGACTAAGGGACTGACGACGTTGTTTACAAAGGTCTGGGAACTAGAGAGTGTACCAACGTCATGGAATGAGTCGATAGTTGTCCCTATCTTTAAAAAGGGTTCACGTTGTTCCTGTAACAACTATCGGGGGATAAGTCTACTTCCGATTGCGTCCAAGCTATTGGCTTCCGTCATACTTCGTAGGTTGTTCAGAACCCGAGAAGGATTGACTCGCGAGGAGCAGGCTGGGTTTCGTTCTGGTCGAGGATGTATTGATCATATCTTCACCCTCCGCCAAGTGTTAGAACACCGCCATACTTATCAAAGGCCAACAATCGTAGTGTTTCTTGATATCAGGGCTGCCTTCGATTCGTTGGACAGAACTGTTCTCTGGGATTGTCTATTGAAGAAGGGTGTGCCTGAGAAGTTTATTATTATTATTATTTATTTTAACACATAAGTATAGGTACAGGGAGGCACCAAATACATATGCGCCACACAAATCTCAATTGATTTGTGTGAGGGCTGTGATACTGCTCGGATGCCCAAACCGAAGCAGGTGGTTTTCTTAGGGGGCCACACCCCGAGCCTTTGACCTGAACGTCTGACCCACAAGGCAGTGGGGCATCGTGAGGAGATGCAGTCCCATGGTAGCCGGTGACCAACGATTGGTTCATACGCCATTTGTTCCTTCAGGATACTGGAGCCCATGTGCACCATTGGTTTGGGGTCCGGTTAAAGCGCCGGACATTCGCTTTTCGTCCTATC